GCCTCAGCTCCCACCGCCCTAGGTCCCCGGGATCTGGCTGCCAACACCCCTCCCCCGCTCCACCGACGGTGCCATCTGGGACCCAGGGGTCCAGCCCTCCCTCCGGTCCTAGCACCGCGAGCCCCAGTGTCAAGAACCATTCGGGGACCCTCGGATCCTGAAGCATAGAAATCCACAGCTCCCACCGCCCTAGGTCCCCGGGATCTGGCTGCCAACACCCCTCCCCCGCTCCACCGACGGTGCCATCTGGGACCCAGGGGTCCAGCCCTCCCTCCGGTCCTAGCACCGCGAGCCCCAGTGTCAAGAACCATTCGGGGACCCTCGGATCCTGAAGCATAGAAATCCAGCCCCTGTTCTTTTTTTTGGGGGGGGGCGGGGGAGGAGGGACCCAGGAGTTGGGGACCTCAGCCCAGAAACTTCCCGAAGTCTCGGGATCGGCACCGCGTTCGTCCTCCGAGGCCCCAGGAGACAGAGACCCCAGCCCCCAGATCCCATTCAACCAGCGGTTCTCAACCTCGGCTGCCCATGAGAATCACCTGGGAGTTTTTTTAAAATCCTGATTTCTGGCTGGCCCTGGCTGGTTTGGCTCAGTGGATAGAGCGTCGGCCTGCGGACTGAAGGGTCCCGGGTTCGATTCTGGTCAAGGGCATGTACCTTGGTTGCGGGCACATCTCCAGTAGGGAGTGTGCAGGAGGCAGCTGATCGATGTTTCTCACTCATCGATGTTTCTAACTCTCTATTCCTCTCCCTTCCTCTCTGTAAAAAATCAATAAAACTATATAAATAAATAAATCCTGATTTCTGGGCCTCATCCTCCGGAAATTCTGTTTCTTTGTTACTCATGCCGTGGCCCCACCCCATCACAAAGAAACAGAATTTTCCAGAGGACGAGGCCCAGAAATCAGGATTAAAAAAAAGATTCCCAGGTGAGTCTCATGTGCAGCCGAGGTTGAGAACCGCTGCATTACCCTGAGGCCCGGGTGGCCACCCATCCCCGCGGCATGCGACCCAGATGCCCAAGGTTTCGTCCATTCCTGGGAGGCCCGGCTGGCGCGGGCGGGGGAGGGAGTGGGCGTGAGGGGAGACTCGGGTGGGGAGCAGGGCTGAGGGTCTCGGTGCTAAACAAACCCTAAACAGGCGGGTTGCCATGGCAACGGCCTTCCCGGGCCTCCTCTGGAGACTGCGTCGGGGAGGGCAGCCTCCAGGAGCCCCCACTCCGCCAGCTGTTGTGTCTTCCTGTTATGTCACCATGGCGACGGTGACCTCAGCCCTCCATCCCCCCTCCCCTCCCCTCCTCTGGCGGCCGAGGTTCAATGATGTCCCCGGGGGCGGGGTCTTGCGTTGGCCCCGCCCCGGGGCGGAGCTGGGGGCAGCCCTGGCTTAGGG